GGAAAGCCCCGTCGGCACCCATATCCTGTACAAGAGTCAATATCTATCTCCAACCAACGTTCAAACCAGGTTCCCACTTGGTCTTTTCAATAACAATCAATTCACAATCAATAGTCAATTTGCAAAATCGATGCCCCAATAAGCAATATTAAAGAAATCTAGAAACAATCATTATCAATAGTCATACGCATATCAATTCAAGCTTATCAATTTCCGGGAGCAAAATCAGAAATCATTATACGAAAAATCGCGGCAGATAGAAAACGACAGCGATCTGTCAATGTTACACAAAAATCCTGCAACAAGGGCACCAAATTCCAAATTTCTCAAATTAACGAGTTAGAATCCATCCACAATCCAATACAAGACTATTTAATTCTATAGAATTCCAAAATCAAATCACGTACCATGGATATTTTTCTATCGATTTAAAAATCGCGATAGAATTTAATTACCACCGACCAGGTAAAATCGTCGCAGAAAAAAACTCAAATCGCTATCTGATACAAATAAGTCATATCTATAACATACCAAAAAGTTGTGCGGGTGAAAGTTTTGTCAAACGAAAATCATGTCCCAAAAATTCGACTACGAAAAACACAAAAAACAATTGCACAATCGGTCACAAACCAATATCTCATAGAAAACAGAAAAGGATTCGGTAGTCCTTACACGAGATCTACACTTTCCCAACAGCGGCGATCGACGAAAAAGCGCTCACGCGGCCTACCAACAACCAAGCTTCTCTACTTTTCCCTTTCTCTTCTCTCTCCTTTCAAATCAGATATTTTGATTTTTAACAATGATTTTTTCTCTCTCCTCCAAAAACGAGCTGACTTTCTTATCATAAAGCTTAATCGGCACCGATGGCTGATCGCAAAATAGATCCCGGGACGATTCAGACCAAAATCGATCATACGTCCCGATCGTCCTGACGGTTCCCAGAACTATTCTCGGGACAGTATTTGAAACATTACAGATCGTCCTGACGATCTCAATAGTTGTCCGGAACGATCTACGGGAGGGAAAATCCAAAGTCAGAGAGGAAGTAATGGGAACGAAAACGGTCTCATAACAAAAGGGACC